CCCTGACCCCTTAGTGTGGGGTACCCTGACCCCTTAGTGTGTGGTACCCTGACCCCTTAGTGTGGGGTACCCTGACCCTTAGTGTGTGGTACCCTGACCCCTTAGTGTGTGGTACCCTGACCCCTTAGTGTGGGGTACCTTGACCCCTTAGTGTGTGGTACCCTGACCCCTTAGTGTTGTGTACCCTGACCTCCTTAGTGTGTGGTACCCTGACCCCTTAGTGTGTGGTACCCTGACCCCTTAGTGTTGTGTACCCTGACCCCTTAGTGTGTGGTACCCTGACCCCTTAGTGTTGTGTACCCTGACCCCCTTAGTGTGTGGTACCCTGACCCCTTAGTGTGGGTACCCTGACCCCTTAATGTGGGGTAGCCTGAGCCCTTAGTGTGTGGTACCCTGACCCCTTAGTGTGGGTACCCTGACCCCCTTAGTGTGTGGTACCCTGACCCCTTAGTGTGTGGTACCCTGACCCCTTAGTGTTGTGAACCCTGACCTCCTTAGTGTGTGGTACCCTGACCCCTTAGTGTTGTGTACCCTGACCCCTTAGTGTGTGGTACCCTGACCCCTTAGTGTGTGGTACCTTGACCCCTTTGTGTTGTGTACCCTGACCTCCTTAGTGTGTGGTACCCTGACCCCTTAGTGTTGTGTACCCTGACCCCTTAGTGTGTGGTACCCTGACCCCCTTAGTGTGGGGTACCTTGACCCCTTAGTGTGTGGTACCCTGACCCCTTAGTGTTGTGTACCCTGACCACCTTAGTGTGTGGTACCCTGACCCCTTAGTGTGTGTACCCTGACCCCCTTAGTGTGTGGTACCCTGACCCCTTAGTGTGTGGTACCCTGACCCCTTAGTGTTGTGTACCCTGACCTCCTTAGTGTGTGGTACCCTGACCCCTTAGTGTGTGGTACCGTGACCCCCTTAGTGTGTGGTACCCTGACCCCTTAGTGTGGGGTACCGTGACCCCTTAGTGTTGTGTACCCTGACCCCCTTAGTGTGGGTACCCTGACCCCTTAGTGTGTGTACCCTGACCCCTTAGTGTGTGGTACCCTGACCCCTTAGTGTGTGGTACCCTGACCCCTTAGTGTGGGGTACCTTGACCCTTAGTGTGGGGTACCTTGACCCCTTAGTGTGTGGTACCCTGACCCCTTAGTGTGTGGTACCCTGACCTCCTTAGTGTGTGGTACCCTGACCCCTTAGTGTGGGTACACTGACCCCTTAGTGTGTGGTACCCTGACCTCCTTAGTGTGTGGTACCCTGACCCCTTAGTGTGTGGTACCCTGACCCCCTTAGTGTGGGGTACCCTGACCCCCTTTGTGTGGGTACCCTGACCCCTTAGTGTGGGTACCCTGACCCCAAGTGTCATTAAGGGGTCAGGTTCATGGACGGTGCTGACACACACACACACACACACACACACACACACACACACACACACACACACACACACACACACACACACACACACACACACACACACACACACACACACACACACTGATGTTTGCAGACTACACAATACATGCGGGGTCTACGTACAGCGTATGGACTGCAAGAGTTTGCAGAATAACCCGAGCAAACAGAACTGATCTTACAAGTGGTCATTAGAGTTTAATCCCAGTAAATGCAAGGACAAGAACACTAGGAAAATAAGACAGGACAAATAGGTACAATATAGGATAGCAAGGACTCAAGATGTCTGAGGCAAAGATCTGATGGTAGACTTAACAGCAACACTTTCTTATGCACCGCATCACCCGAGGGGTAATATTATCGTCAAGCTCAAGGACTGCTTTTATGAGTCAGTCACAGCTCTATAAACCACATACGTTAGACTCTGCGGTTTGATATGCAGCGCCTGCGTAGAGGCTTTCTCTCGTCAAGTTGGAGAACAGCAAGAGGATAATAAACTAGTCGCGGGGAGAGATGATAAGCATAAGTTATGAGGCCAGAACGAGAAACCAAACTTTGTGTAAAGAAAACGGAAACAAAGAAGACATGATCGCAACATATAAAATACTCCAGTGACTAGATAAATGATGACATGTAGACTGCTCGTCACGGGACACGAAGGAGGGGGGGGGACAGGCAAGGACACTGTACGGGGATACTAAATGGAACACGGTGAGTGACAAGGAAGTGAAGAGATAGAATAAACAAAGGAACCAATGAGAAGATAGAGGTGTGAGCCTCACCTCCCTACGACCCTCAAACGACCCTCAAACGACCCTCAAACGACCCAAGTGAAGACAATGAGCACCTCAGGCAGAACCCTGGAGCTAAAGCTCGGCCCTGCAAGCACAGATAGGTATGTTTATCACACACTCACATACAAACACACACACACATATGTGTAGATATGATAGAGCCCAATAGGCTCAGGAATCTGTACACCTGTTCATTGACGGTTGAGAGGCGGGACCAAAGAGCCAGAGCTCAACCCCCGTAAGCACAACTAGGTGAGAACACACATTCCTAGGCTATATATATGCTAGTGTTAGAAAGTGAATCATGAAGCAGGTTGTTGAGTATCTATATTTAGTTGGTGTACCCTTGAATATATCTTAAATATATCCTGGGGCTTGTTATATCCAGAGCTTGTGTACTCACCTAGATGTGCTTGCGGGGGGAGGGGTTGAGCTCTGGCTCTTTGGTCCCGCTTCTCAATTGTCAATCAACTGGTGTACAGGTTCCTGAGCCTACTGGGCTCTAACATATCTACACTTGAAACTGTGTATGGAGTCAGCCTCCACCACATCACTGCCTAATGCATTCCATCTGTTAACTACTCTGACACTGAAAAGGTTCTTTCTAACGTCTCTGTGGCTCATGTGGGTACTCAGTTTCCACCTGTGTCCCCTTGTTCGCGTCCCACCGGTGTTGAATAGTGTATCCTTGTTTACCCGGTCGATTCCCCTGAGGATTTTGTAGGTTGTGATCATGTCACCCTTAATCTTCTGTCTTCCAGTGTCGTAAGGTGCATTTCCCACAGCCTTTCCTCGTAACTCATGCCTCTTAGTTCTGGGACTAAGGTTAGTTCTTAGTTCTGGGTTCTGTGTGTGTGTGTGTGTGTGTTCGAATAATTTGCTGACCTTGGCTTTTACATAACTAGTTTTCTTCTCTCTGTGTATAACATTCACCCTGTTCTTGTTAACAGGACCGCGCAGTCCCATGTAGTGTTGGTAAAGCTTCGCTACTTGGAACAAAGTTCCAAGTAGCACGGGCTATGGTGAGCCCGTAGTGCCTTTTGTTTTTAGTCCCATGTAGTGTAGGTAAACATTTTCAACCACCTTGATTTGTTCAAAAGTTAATGTTCCTACTTATTTACATTATTATTATCTACTTTATCATTATCAATATTATTATTATTGTTCACTGCAAAATTATATTTGTTTAGCCTGAGTTTCTTTGTTGCTTTTGTTGGTCGTGAGCCTCACTTCCGGGTTGGACTGGTCGTGTTATAAGGCCAATTGAGCAAGTCGTGTTTCAGTCGTGTTTCAGTCGTGTTTCAGCAGTATGTCAATGTTTTGTGGGGTTTCAGGGTAGTCGGTCTGTGTCCATCTGTGCTCGGTGGAGTTTCCTGGTGGAGTTCTATCTGTGTCTGGTCGATTTTCCTGGTCTCGTTCTCTGTATTTGGTCGATTTTCCTGGTCTAGTTCTCAGTATTTGGTCGATTTTCCTGGTCGAGTTCTCTGTATTTGGTCGATTTTCCTGGTCTCGTTCTCTGTGTCTGGTCGAGTTCTCTGTGTCTGGTCGATTTTCCTGGTCTCGTTCTCTGTATTTGGTCGATTTTCCTGGTCTAGTTCTCTGTGTCTGGTCGATTTTCCTGGTCTAGTTCTCTGTATTTGGTCGATTTTCCTGGTCTCGTTCTCTGTATTTGGTCGATTTTCCTGGTCTCGTTCTCTGTATTTGGTCGATTTTCCTGGTCGAGTTCTCTATATTTGGTCGATTTTCCTGGTCTCGTTCTCTGTATTTGGTCGATTTTCCTGGTCTAGTTCTCTGTATTTGGTCGATTTTCCTGGTCGAGTTCTCTATATTTGGTCGATTTTCCTGGTCTCGTTCTCTGTATTTGGTCGATTTTCCTGGTCTCGTTCTCTGTGTCTGGTCGATTTTCCTGGTCTCGTTTTCTGTGTCTGGTCGATTTTCCTGGTCTCGTTCTGTGTGTTTGGTCGAGTTTTCCTGGTCTCGTTCTCTGTGTCTGGTCGATTTTCCTGGTCTCGTTCTCTGTGTTTGGTCGATTTTCTTGGTCTCGTTCTCTGTGTTTGGTCGATTTTCCTGGTCTCGTTTTCTGTGTCTGGTCGATTTTCCTGGTCTCGTCCTCTGTGTCTGATCGATTTTCCTGGTCTCGTTCTCTGTGTCTGGTCGATTTTCCTGGTCTCGATCTCTGTGTTATTTCATATCATCAGTTGGTCTGGTTTCCTTGTCCTATTTTCGTTATTTTTCGAAATAAGGAAAATAAGGTGAAAATGTGTATTTTCCCATCTTTTGGTAATATTTCTGAAATTTATGTAATAATATGTTGTTTTTCCTGTTTGTATGTAATACACGTCTTAATTGTATTCCTTCTTGCTACTCTGTATTTTGCAATGTACTAAATGACTTTTCACTGTTCTGTTGCAAGTGATGACCAAAGTGAGACGTGGATGGTGATGATGATTAGGGTGAGGATGGTGTTAATGGTGGTAGTGATGGCTACTTTGCGTTGGTTGACGGAGAACAACGTCCCCGCGGCCCGGTCTCTGACAAGGCCCTACTATGGTGATGATAACAAGTAAACAGATGATGCTATCGTTTAAAATGAACGATATGGTGATGGTGCTAAGGTTAATGACGATAATTAGGTGATAATGATGATAGTAGCTCTGATGAAAGTAACGATGATGATAGCGAGTGTGATAATGATAGCCATGATGAACATGATCCTGCTGATGGGAGAATGGACAGGTGATGAGTCTGGAGCATGAATGAAAGTGACGTAGATAGCGCCGATGGTGACGCACATGACGCACCTCGTACGAAGGTTTCTTGGCGTAGTAAGAGTCAGGCATGAACCACGTGTTCTCGATCACCTTCGCCGGGGCTAGCTTCCTTCCCGTCAGTCCTCGCTCGAAGAACTTGAAGCCCTCCTCGTCTATCAGAAGATAAGGCACGATGCCGTAGCAAATGGATCGCGCGAACTCCTTGGGAATCACAGCTTGCATATCGGCCTTGGTGACCACAATGGCCATGCCCTTCTTGAACTTGTCCAGCTCTGACTTGGCCTTACCCGCCTTCTCGGAGTCAAGAGTCTCGAGGAAGGATTCTCCGCAGCGCTTGTCCTGCATGATCTCTCTGAAGAGTTCGTCCGGAAGCATGTCTATAAACTTATCAGCTTCCTTTCGGTCCTCTCTGATCTGCTCGAAGATCTTGGCGGGAATGTCCTTCGAGGACGCTACGTGGCGGAGGTCGAAGGAGGCAACGTCTTTACCTTCTTCTTTGGGCAGTTTAAGAAGCAGATTGGCGTTCTTCAGCAGTTCTCTGACCTTCTTTCGGTCCTTCAGTCCCTCGGGATTCGTTTGCAGGACCTGGAGCATCTTGGCAACGTCTGGGTCGCGCTCTGCGATTTGGTGAAGAACAACCAATTGCCGAAGGACAGAGACCACGTCTGGATTATCTCGGAGGGCGTTGGGGTCTGAAGGCTCAGAGATGAACCTCTCCAACATGGCGGCAACTTCCACATTCCCAGTAACGCAGACGATGCCGACAGCTTCCGTCAGGAGGACCTGGATTCGTGTGTCGGTTAGGAGGTTTTCAGGATTGATGTTCAGGAGGTGGATGATGTCGTCAATCTCCTTATCGCAATATTTTGAAACGACCCGTTGGATGGCTTTTCTAAGGGTCCGCCTGGCCTGGTCGTTTCTGCTGATGGTGTCTGTGTCTGTGGAGTCGATGTAGTCAACAATGTCGCTAATTAACTGCTCGTTCTCGCCCAGGAACCCGCGGATCACCTCCCCCGTGCCATTCACTGTCGACAGGATGTTGGCCATGGCGTCGACCTGCAGCAGCGTCATGTTGTCGTACTCCCGCTCTCCCAGCAGCTTGGACAGCTTCTTCATCTCCTTGCCCCTTCTGACGTCAGAGATGCTCGTCGAGGCCCTGATGAACCTAAGCAATACATCAACCTTATCACTCCCATAGTCAGGTTCCTCGACCTCTTCTTTCCCGTTCTCTTCTGCGGCGTCCAACTGCACTCTCGTTTTCTTCTTCTTCTTTTTCTTCTCCGGAGGAGGAGGAGGAGGAGGTTCTGGGGTCACGCCATGGACAAAGACAGTGTTCATGGCCAACTTCTTCAGCGTGGCTGAGTCTATGAGGCCTTCCTCGCTCATGATGGGAGAGTGAGGGCGTATGTCTGTGGGATTTGTCATGAGGAGAGCAAGTTCTTCTTCGCTGATTTCGAAGCCTTGGAAGGAGATCTGGAAGTCTTCGTCTATCTCGTCTGCGTCCGGTGGGACGTACTTTAGGCCTTCGTCCGTCTCGATGATAGTGCCAGGGATGAACTTTGGTCCCTCGGGGCTCTCCACAACCTGACCAGGGACGAATCGCGGTCCAGCGTTTGTTTCCACCAGCTGACCTGGAACGAAGAGCTGACCTTCGTCTGTACTCATCATCTGCCCAGGGATAAAGGTGGCTCCATTCTTGGTCTGTATGATTTGACCAGGGACGAACTTTGGACCCTCATCCTCCACGATGACCTGACCTGGTACAAATTTCTCACCCTTGGCAGTCATCACGACTTGACCTGGAACAAACTTTGGCCCGTCGGAGCTTTCGACTATCTGACCTGGGATGAACTCCTCTCCGTGGCTTGTGTTGACCGTCTGTCCTGGCACGAAGCTCTCACCATCAGCTGTGGTCATCAGCTTACCAGGGATGAACCTCTTGTCTACCTCATTGACGATCAGTTGACCAGGGATGACCTTAGAATCAGGAGAGACATCATTTGGCAGTTTGCCAGTGAGGTAGAACTGCACTGCATTCTGAGTCTCAACCATATCTCCATACAACTTCTCTCCCACCAGTACAGTGTCCGTATTCGTGGGATTAACGATGAATCCTGACACGTTCCTGTCAGCAAAGGCCAGAGGCTGAAGCTCCTTATTGGGGATAACTAGCCACTCGCTGATCTTAGGCACCTCGAAGGGCCGGTGTTCGAACTTGAGCTTGCCTTCCTCGTCCTGCACTAGGTCACCCTTGATGAATTTCTTACCTTCTGGAGTTTCGAAGATCTTACCAGGGACGAACGTCGGACCCTCGATGGTGTCCATAATCTGACCTGGTTTGAAGGTCAGACCCTCATCGGACTGGAATGCTTGACCAGTGACAAACGTTTCGCCTTCTGCACTTGGCATTTTCATTCCAGGCACGAAGATATCCTCTCCATACGCGTCTACTGTCACCTCGCCGGGACTGAACTTCGGGCCATCGTCGGTGGTGATTGTCTGACCCGCCACAAAGATCGACTTACCATCGCCGAGGTCCATAACCTGACCGGCCACGAACTTCGGACCATTGGGACTGTTGAAAACCTGGCCTGCAACAAAGTCTATCTTCTCATCGAGTGACTTCACGCACTGGCCAGGCACGAAATTGATGACCCCATTTTCGTTAATGATGGTTTGACCCGGAACGAACTTTCTTCCCTGTGGGGTTTCAACTGTCTGGCCGGCCACGAAGGCCTCCTGATCAGCTAGTTTGATGATTTGACCTGCTACGAATTTCTTCTTCTCATCAACCTCAACCAAAGCTCCGGACACGGCCTCCTCCTCGTTCTCGACGTAATCCAGCTTGGTGACAAACTCGGCCCCTTCCTTCTTCTTCACCAAGTACCCCATCTCTGCTGTCTCGGTTCCAGCTGCAACCTTACTGATATCTCTAAAGGTTGGGATCATGTCTGCATCTTTCACGCACTGAAGAGTCTCAGTGACATGCTCGGTCTTCTTCAGGACGTCATCTTTCATGTGGTAAACTTTCTTTGCTACTTCCTCTGGCATCGGCAAGGAAGGTCTGACAGTTTCGACAGAGACAATGATCTCCAGGTTCGTGACGTCATCCCTCAACACCACTTCTTCCTTCGCCACCTGCGTCTCCACCACCTCGACTGGGTCGATCCATTCTTCATGTGGGAAGCTCTCCCAGTCAAAACCGGCACTCTCGGCCGCGGTAACCGCGTGCCAATCTAAGCCTGACGAGACGATTGTAAGCTTAATCGAAGACACCTGGGCTTCCATGATGTCTGCAAGAAACCTCTCGTACTGCAGTTGATCGTCTTGAAGTTTTTTGGTGTCGACTTTAGGTAGGAGAATAGCCTTATTCTCCGCCTGCTCCCTCATCATGGCCTCCATCCTGGCTAGTTTCTCGGCTCGTTGTTTTGCGTTGAATTTGACTCTGGGTTTATTGTAGGCGGGTCTAACAGTGTCCCTTAGCTCCTCAGCCTCGGCCTTGGCGTCAAGTGCTTCGAAACGTTGCTTTCTGGCCAAGGTGTTGGCCTT